TATGGTATGGCTTGCGTGCCTGCAGAGAGGGCTCTGCGTGCCATCTGAGGTATGTGTGCTATAGGTTCGCCATTGCTGGGCTAAACTGATACAGCACCAATCCACATGCTTACCATGTCTTGTCAGTTCAACACTGTTTCAGTTGCTAAACTTGTTTTTTTTTCTTTCAAAAAAGGGATTTGAATGCCAGCAAAAGAGGTGGGAAAGAGGTCAGTAATAATAGTAGAGAAGAAGGGGACCTGTTTGATGTGTGGACACTTGAAATGCACCTTCCCAGGATAATTAATTTTTTCTGACTTGAAATGCACCTTTCCAGGATAATTAATTTTTTCTATGTAAACATCAACAGCGATTTAAATGCCAGGGTGCAGTATAGAGAACTTCTCATCAAACTGGTCACACCCTTAGACATGTAGGAACAGAGGCTGATCCTAGGGGAAAAGATTTGTGGCAAAGCCTAGCATTGCCCGTTTCACAGAAGAAAAATTGAGAAGGTTCATCATAAAACATACCCTTTTTGACAGGTATTAAACCAGCAGAAATTTATATGACCCACAAAACTTAATTAAAGGACATTCTGAAATATTTATCTGTTTTAATTTTGTTACACCATATTATCCACTTCAGCTGGAGTGGTGTGTCTGGTTTAGAAGGGAATTGGAATGAATTAGAACTGTTATCTTGACATCTAGAACAGACACCTAAGCAATATATATGTGTCTGTATAACAGGAAGAGAATGCAAATATCGTCACATTGACATATGTGAGTCTTTTCACATTCAGTTGTTTAAGGGTTGGGGCACAGGAAGAGCAGAGAAGCCAATGTTTGTTATGGTGACATGTACTCATGCAGTGATCATCTCCTTTAATTAAATGCACAATAAAAATATTTGAAGTTTATTGGTTCATATGGCCCCAATTCATTTGTTTGATTTCATTTCAAACTATTGAGAGTGTTTTCTACATTGAAGAACAGACAACAGCTTAGAAACCTCGGGGAGGGCTGTTCCCCCACACAAGCTCACTGTTATTATGAATGTTATTTCAGTTCATGATGACTCCAACTATGGACATACAGAACAGGTGAAAGACAACTATAGTTCCAGGAAAAATCAAGCTTTTGAGATTGATATTCCTCAGGATGTCTCAAAAAAAAAAAGGATGAGATAATTTGACAGATTAAACTTAATTCACACTATGAAAATTGTTTCTGATAGGTATAGTTTCAAAAATATAAATAGTTAGGTGGACTTGCTGGACAGCTCAGTGGTGGAGGTTGGGACTTCCATTCCCCACTGTGCCTCCTATGTATAGAGCCAGCCTGTGTGGCTACACAGTCCCAGGGTGCCTCCAGAGGAAGGGAATGGCAAACCACTTGAGTATTCTCTACCTGGAGAACCCTGAAAAGGGTTTCCATAAGTAAGAATTGAGTTGATGGCACATAATTGTTAGTCTCCATCAGCTGATAAAAAATTCTGATATGCTTGTTGAAATTTCTGATGAAATATGTCAGAACAAGATGTCTTTAAGAGGTTTTAAGCATTTGATAAAAGCACTTTAAAGCCAAGGGGGGCATCAAAAACACACTATGCTAGTTGAGGTTTTTGGGTGAGATAGTGCAATACTGGTGTACAGAATGTAGCTGTTTGAACTGTACCTTATGCTGACAGCACAGTGGGAGTGAAACCGAAGTTATGAGCAATATTGTGAGTGGACAGTGATTCTTTGAGAGTTAATCATAACAAAGGACAGAGACTTTATTGGGATCCCAGGTGTGGACTGCATTGAAAGGAAAGGAGCAAATAAGAAGAAGCTTGCTCTGGGCTTCTTTTTCATAGACATCGCTGGCAAAGAACCTGGAAGTTGTTGGGCCTATTCCACTGCTATATTTTGCAATTTTTCACAAACCATACAACTTGGTAGTACTGTACTGCAATGCTGCAGAGTTGCTCTGGAGAGGGTCAGCTGGAGCAATTTGCCCCAGGCCCTCTGTAAAAAAAGCTTCCTTGCCTCGTTTCCTATGTATGCTATTATGTCCTGCCACATTGATCACCAGAATCCTTTGTATTATGTTAAGTTTTATGAAAATGCGATTTAGTTTTCATACAGGAAATGGTATCTGAGAGTATAAAATGACACTGACTCTAAAGATATAATTATGATGTAACAAGATGTTTCTGTGGCCATTATTTTACATAGCTGAATTCAAGCAGTGAGCAAATGAGTACCACATAAGATTTCTAGGCAAGCTTCAATTGGAGAGTACTTTTCTGTGGTAGTTACCACAGAGTAAGGCGTAAAAGTAGTATGAAGCCAGGAATCATGGTTCAGTAAATAATGAAAGTCAGCAGCAGGCCACAATGGAAAGACCTACGGACCTGAGTCCCAGGAAGCCAAAAACAGCTTTTCCAGCTTGGAATGTGGAGGTACTAAGGAGAAGCACAATTAATCCTTGTTTTCCAATCCTGATGTAAGGAAAAATGAAACAAATCTATCATTCTGCTTCATCCTAGGCCAAGCAATAGTTACTGGTGAACATCCCCCCTGTGTGTGCATTATCATGTGCCCTTCACCTGTGTACAGTTGTACTGTTAGATGCTTGCAGGATTTAACAGTAGGCTTCCCAACACCACATCTGTTCAAGATCCTGTGAAGCTTTGGATGCCCTGTTCAACTGGCCATGATGATGTGTGTTTTGTGTTTGCAAAGGCACTCCTCACTTAGTGTCCATCTTAGGTCCTGCCATAGATGGTCCATCCTTCTTACTGCACAACCCCCCAAAATAAGATGTTAAAATAGAGAGAATGTGGCCGAGAGAGAAAACCTGTACCCATCACATGGGTTGTCTTTCCAAATAGGAGAAAGAAAGTCTCAGTGTTTCTATTAAAGAGCCCGAAAAACCCACAACAACCATTTCTATTAGAGACCTTGTCTGTTTCTGTCAGTGGAGGAAGTTGGGCTCACTGGAGAGAGTCCCTGCCACTGTAATGCTCAAATAGAGAATTCTGATGGACAAAAGAAGGCAAGCTGGTTGCTTTTTCTCTTATATTTGTATGCTGCACTGTCCTGATAGGGTACCTCTAAGGGGTAGAGGCGGCTGGCTGCTCACAGTGCTCTCTCCAGGCAAGGTTGCGGGAGAATGAGAGAGTGCACCTAAGGAGGCACTGCTATCTTCTCTTGCTTCTATGTTTCTTCACCGTATCCAAAAATATGCCACCTTTTAGCGTGTTTCTGCTTTCAAGGCTCGATCCAATGTTGTTGTGCAAAAGAATGCCCTTTGCAGTCACAGTTAAAGCTCAGTTTCTGCCCTAGCGGTGGCTGAAGACAGAATTCAAGCAAGCTCCCGACTGTTCTTCCCCCTCTACATTTTCAGTCTTCTGCCTTTCCCGCTTGCGTCACGTTCTCGGAGCCTGCCTCTGACGCCCGTCAAGCCCATTTCCGCCACACTTAACATGGGCGCCTCCCAGTGCCTCTCTTTCCCGTCGCCGGAGTGGGCGGAACGTAGTCTTGAGATGTCTTCATTTCTGAAGCACTATTTTTAAATAGCAGCGGCGAAAGCCAATGAAAGAAAGGAAGGTCCTCCTAGTACCCAATGCGAAGCACGCCATGGGTGGGGTAACCCTGGCGGGGTACTCCCGTTCACCGGCTAGGCTCGCAGTAGCCGGGTGAAGAGAGCTGGGGAGCGGGGGGTGGGGGGGCATGGAGAGGAGGGTCCTTCGCGCCATGGCTCTGCTTCTCTTCCAGGCCTTGCCTGAGGGGTTGCCGGTCAGCGTGGAGCCCGCGCAGGTAAGAGAGCCAGAGAAGGGTCGGGGTGGCCTATCGGGGGAGGAATTCGGGGTTCAGGCCTCAATGCTGAGGTGAGGAGAGCAGGCCAGGCCAGGCCAGGCCGTGGGAGTAGAAAGGGGTCGGGCAGTGAAAGGCCTGTCGAGTGGGCAGAAGGAGCGAAAGAGAGGCCTTCGTTACAGATAGATGCCTTGCTTGGGGTGGCCTTGGGAACAGGTTTGGCATGAGGTACTGGAAGAGGCCTGAGGGGTATTGAGATCCGCAAGAGAAGTGTTTGAAGGAGCGATGGGACGCGCTATGTTTGCTGGGCGTGTTTATTTTGATTTGGAAAACGAAGCGGGTCTTGGGATGTTGTGTTCCTTCCTTGTAGGAAACATTAGAGTCGCCTTGCTTTTTATACTCCTTTCCAGTATAAAACGTTGACATAGCAAATACTAAGCACAGTCGTGATGTTTTATGCGTGCACATACCGAAGAGCGCCAGGGCATGGAACGGTTATCCAGTTTATTAGGATTTTCAAGGGTGCAGTCTTTTACATGGTTACTAGGGAATAAGCTCCATTGGACTAAGCTGTGCTTGCTTCTGATTGCAGAAGTCTGACTTCTAAAAACTCATTGAGTTTTAAAAGAAGACTGACAAGTGTTTGAAGTGTAGCCTGTTGAAATGATTAGTGCCAAGTAGGAATCCCAGAGAAAATAATGAAATATTGCCAAGTAAGAACCCCATCAAATAAAAGGAAAACACTCTCTCTTTGCTTCTCTGATTTCCTATATACAAATCTGTAACAAACAAAAATAAAACCAGAACTTCAAAAAGTAACTTCTTTGGACTGCAAGTTACAGGATTCCCACCCTCGCACTACTGGAAGTGCTGGCTGGTAGGTTTTGGAAGTTGTACTCCTGAAAGTAATGTTTCCAGTGTCTGAGTAAAACTTGAAATTCTTGTTATCTCATTCACTCGTCAGAGCAAGGAGTCTGGTAAATGATGTCACTTTTCTGTTCAGGAAAACATCTTGGAGCTGCACTCCCCCACATTCCCTTCCCCCTGTGCCACTGCATGTAAAGCTTGTCCCCTGTAGGGAGAAGGAGAAATATTTGTGAGGTGCTATGTGTGATTGCACAGGTATGTCTCATCAGGTGAACAGGTGTCTTGTGCACTGTCATGAAGTATTTTGCGCTAGGGCTGTGATACCACAATGCACAATAAAAATGAGCTGCTACATTTGCGAAGGTTGTGTGTGTGTGTGTGTAAGGTGTGTGATATCAAGGCTCCTTCACAGTTGCTGGTGCTCTGTACTTTAAAAGGATAAGTTACCCCCCAAAAAAGTATTTTTATATAGTATGTCTGATATGTATTCAGTTGCCCAGAACACTCCTCTATGTAAGAAGAGCATAGTATATGCTCAGTGCTCAGGTGAATTTGTAGCAACAGTGTTCAAGTTCTTTAATAAATGTTGTCAACCTTATGTCCTGCTCATCGAATGCATGAAATATATCTCTTCCTTTGTGAACAAACGGATGCAGCTCAGACATTGCAAGTGGAAACCTACAGACACTAGTGGGAGAACACTATGTTCTCCCTAGGCATATTATCTCTGACCTTAAGGTCACTGTACTTCAATTATAATGTCTGGGAGACAAAAAGGCTGCAAAATCAGGGACAGATTTGTGCAGGAGTGCTATCTCATGGTCAAAATAATGATTATAGCACAAAAAAGCAGTTAAGGTTTCAAGTTTTGTTTACTAGTTGTACTTTTGTATTCCACTAAATATAATTTATGTATTGTATTTCTGCTGTAGGAATGTATTTCTGTTATGTTAGTTGTTGGTCAGTTCTTCTGCCATTTGTTTTCATGTGCAATAAGCTAGTTTTTAAAATATTAGAACTCTATCTCTTCTAATGTACCTTTGGGAAAGAGTAGAACTGATTTGAAATAGAATGAGAAAATTCAGATTTGTTTACATCTTTATTAATGCATTCTAGAACTTTTTAATGATAGAACAAGGGAAGACACCCTCCATACATGCAAGATGACTTTGAAGAAGACAACCTTTTTAATGTGTAGAAGCAGATGACTGGGAATGGTGGAAAATTAATGTTCATAATCATATAAAGATCTCCACCAATAAAGAAGCCCACCTTCCGTCAGTGCTAAAGCAATAGGGATAGAAGAGGGTAGTCTAGCAAACTTCTCTCATCATGTGTCTACCTTTGTTAGTTTTAGAATGCTTAAATATGGTTTATTTGTATGTAGTCCTCAAGCCATTACAAAACAAATAGTTACTGAGGGATACCATGTGTCTATATAAAATAAGACATTAACTAATTAATACAAACTCAGATCATATGAAATGTTTTAAAAGTTTAGAAAAGTTGATTTCTAGCAAAACACTAGAAAAAGGGGTATTGGTATTAAAGGAAGAATCAGAACTAGAGAAGTTTTCATTAGGAGTGTATACAGTACTTTGTTTTTTTCTAAGCAATATTTTTCTGGAGGAACCATGTAATAACTATTGCTATATAAAATGGGTTGTGGAGTCTCTAGTGCCACAAGCAGTTGCTTTTGGTTTTTTTTTTAATTGAGGAAAATATATACTGTAGTTGTGTTCCTTTTACACCCTCCTTTATTGTATAACACAAGCATGCTGAGTTTACAATCTTCTGAATAACCTGCTTTTATATCATATTTTGACATTCAGGGTCAGGATGGTTTATATAGTCATGACAACTCTTACATTTTTTGCTAGTGGATGTAGAAATGTATGACTCTGAGGCATCAGAGAAGGAATAAAAAATGGAAAGATGATTTCTGCCATGGTTATTGACCTTGTGTGCATTCTACTCCTGCAATGTTGTTCATTCTTGACTATTTTCTAATTACTTTGTATAATAATAACCAGACTGTCACTTCTGAGCATTTCACCACCTAGGAGTTAAAGGAAAAGAATCTAGAATCTAGAAAATTAAATGGATTAAAAACTGCCTTTTACCTATGATTCAATCGCTACATCTCCTTGTCCCTGTACATTCCTGAACATGGGAGATAAGGGTTATCATAGAGGGCTTAGAGGTGGGGGCTGTCTAGAATTAGTAAGAGAGCAATGACTACAGGATAGGTGTTTTATTTTTATATATATATGAGAGAGAGAGAGAGATTAAAAAAATTGAGATTCAAATCCAAACCTAAAGACATTTGATGAAGATAAAATTGATTCTTCATTATACAGTCATTCTGTTGTCATTGCTTTTCATGCTACCATTTTCAACCATAAGCTTGAAAACATGGGGTATGCCTATGCAATTCTTGTGTACCATCGAATTGTTACTAATTTATAGTGATCCTTGTAAGGTTTTCAAGGAGGTTTTCGAAGAGTGGATTATCTTTTGCCATTCCCACAGGGCTTCTATGGCTGAATTGGGACATCTTCTGTGTCACAATCCAAGTCCCTATCCACTACACCACTCTAGCTCTTAAGTAAATAAATGCAGAATACATATAAGATATTCTCATGGATACAAACAAACAAAATTGTTGGATTGTTCATGGACTTTTTCAGCGTTATGTTTTAAAATGTATATAGGAGGAATCTGTGACCTCTAGAACTCTGGAAGCTGCACACAGCCATCCCTGGAATTTGAAGGGCCGCTCCTGTAGACCCCTCCCCAAATGTCTACGAGAATGGGATGTGGTTTTTTTTAAACTGGAAAGGTCCTTTGTACTTTTTGGTGGCTAGCACTGAAAAAAAATTGCAATGCAGGGGACAAAAGTACTAGAAGCTCCTAGATGGCCTGGGGGAAAGGGTTTCTGAGTGATTTTTAATTTTTTTTTTAAAAGGTGAGGTTTTTGTGAGGCTTGGAGATCCTAGGGGTCTACGTTCAAGCCCTTGGGAGCCTGCATGTAGCCCATTACTGATATTAACCTAAGCCTTAATTATTAAGGCATTGGTTGTTGTAGGTTTTTCTGGCTGTGTGGCTATGTTCTGGAGGTTTTTCTTCCTAACGTTTCTCCAGTCTCTGTGGCCGGCATCTTCAGAGGACAGGAGTTAGAACTCTGTCTGTGTTCTGGTGTAGTGTGTGGGATAGTTGGGTATTTGTAGCTGTGGAATCAGCCTTTTGTCCTTTTCAGGAGATTGGGTGATTATGGTGATCAGAGTGTTTTTTTGTTACCGTATTGTTGTGATAAGGGGGGAGATGATCTGTCACTGTGATTGATGGGTGTCATTAGCTAACGAAGAAAAACCTCTAGAACACAGCCAAATAGCCCAGAAAACCTACAATAACCATCAGATGCTGGCCATGAAAGCCTTCAAGAATATATTTTGGCATTGTTGGTATACAGAACCTCTATAAGAGTCAAAGATCATGATAGTACCCTCCAGAGGATTTTTTTGGCTGGTTTCCTGGTATCTTGTGGAGAGTTTTCCATCATTTCAGATGGCAATTCTGTTGAAGCAATGACTCATCTTTGGAAATGGGGAAATGGCCAGTAGATGAATGTGATGATTCCTGTCTGTAGTATCCCCTTCAACTGAATGGAGCTAAATTAGCCTTCTGGTTTTCTAGAGATTTAATAAGGATTAAACAAGTGGGAGGGCAACTAGAACTGTGATGGTGGAAAACTCAGAGAGGTTCCAAACTAAACTTGGGCTAGAGGCCTACTCTGTGGTGGTAGCAAAGAAGTCTTTCTTCTCTGCCTCCCTTGCATAGGCAGAACTTTGTTGATTATTCAAGGGTCTTTGATGCTTTCTTTCAACAAGAAGAGATCAAACACCATTCACAAGCTCACTGTGAACAGTTTATACAACACCTTGCAGACTGACTTGCTTGACTTCATTGTGATTTAAATATATAGTTGATGCAGTTCTAGGGCATGTAACTTTGGCTCTTGCTAGTCCTGAAAAATGATACGTTTTCAGTCTGTGCCATATAAGGGTGTGGACAGGATCCTTGGAAAGATGATAGCTGCTATATGTATGCTAGGTATTTGCCATTCCTTGCTCATA